TAGCCTCAAGAAATAAAATTTGATCCTACATTATTCAGTGTGTGCACTTGTGTACATCTATAGTAGAAGTAACTGAACTGTTATCCAAGCACCTGGAAAACCACAGAACTCCTAACTCTTGAGTGTAGGCTGTGAGACTGATTTCACTAAAAATTAGGATCTTCATAGTCTTGTGTGCATGTGATCTAAAGAAGAAGCACACATCTAAATCGTAACTGCATTTTAAGTTTTCCAGTAAATACTTTTCAACAAAAATTTCCAAAATAACTTTATTCAAAATTTAAATTTGGATATACTATGTTGGATTTCTTCCAACTAGAATAGACTTACCCATTTTTTTTAAGTAAAGGTAAAAACATATTTAAATTATTTAGTTAAATCCTTACTAGTAGAACTATACTTAAAATACTAATTTTAGAAATATTCACTATTTTTTTGTTTTTGTGTCAAGGACATACTGTGGCCCAGTCTAGCCATTGTGTAACCAGGATGTCCTCAAGCTCAAGGCAGTGGCTCTTGCTTCTTCCAATTGCTGGGATTCCTGCTGTGAGCCACCACATTTGGTACACCAAAACTCTTAATTGTGGGATGGTCTATAGGTCCCATGTCAAAGTTCCTGCAGCCCCCCCTTTGGGTTTGTTTGCCCAGTGTCATAACTGGTCTAAGGAAGCACTATGTACACCACAAAGTCCTCGAAACTTGTGGCATTCCTCCTCTGCCTCCTGAATACTGGGATTACACACTACCATCACACTTGGCTCAAAGTGCTTTAAGTTGTATGAAATACTGATAGGGTAAGAACTGTTAAAAACTTCTAAAATATTTTTTGTGTTAAATATTTAAACTACAAAGATAGCTTATGTAGACATTTAAGCATTTGAAGTAATACAGTAAACATTTTTCTTTTTTATGACAAGTGTTACTATAGAGTATTTAAGAAATAAGACAAATATACATTGTTAATCTTGTCACAAGTTAGTGATAATAGATTATAAGTGCCTTTTCCAATCTAGTATTTTTTAAGTAGGTGAGTTGATATGTTTTCCATTACCAGGCAGTTACATTTTCTAAAGTTATGAATCACACTTAATTGCATAACAGATTTTAGAAGCTAGCTTGTTATAAGGTAGAAATAAATCAAATGTGAAATATTAAATTTTCTGGTGCTAACCCTAGATGGGCATAGAGTTTTGGTGGTGGTAGGTTAATTTACCCAGGGAGTATCTATACTTGAGCCACTGATTCTGTAAAGTTGTAGTTCTTGGTTTCTTCCTAGTGGAGGTTTGCCTCAATACCACAGAAATGTTAAATATGAAAGTAACACTTTTTGGTGGTGGTGGGGTTTGAGACAAGGTTTAACTGTGTAACCCTGGCTGTCCGGGAACTCGCTTTGTAGACCAGTGTGTCCTGAACTCATCCTCTTGCTTGCCTCTTCCTCCCAAGTGCTGGGACTAAAGGCATGTGCCACCACCACCTAGCTGAAAGTAACACCTCAGAGCTCTAAAAATTACTGCGTTTCTCATGAGTGAATTAATCTGCATTTTAGTTAGTTTTTTTAAGGACTTGAAGTATACTTTTTTTTGTGTGTAGATTTTTATATTCAGATGTTGATATATAGTTTTATGTTTCAGGGAGAAAGACGGTATTGACAATAAAGTTAAAATTGTAAAAAATGAGTAAAAATACTTTAATGATTTATGACTGAGTAGGGAGGGGGCTTTAAAATAAATGTAACTCCTGTGATGAGTCTGAAGGGAGGGACTGGCTTCTAGGGATAGAGTATGCTATTATTCTATTCCTCATGTGCCCAATTTGTGCACATGGTGGAATTATGTTAAAATGTGTTTTTCATTTAGCATCAGGATTAAGTACACATGAGCTAGGCATTGTGTGTCTTGCCTGTAATTACAGCCCTAGGAGGCTGAGGCAGGAAGATTGCTGGGTGTTCAAGGCTGGACGCTGTCTTTAAAAAAGTACATGTAATGTAAACTGGGACTTAGTACTACCTCAGACTCCTGTACACTACTAGGATATGCTGGGAGGATGAGAGAAATCAGGTTTAAATTAAGTGGAAACATTAGGTATTTTATTTAACTTTGCCTAGTGATTAATTATAAGTGAGAATAAACATAGTTGCTGTTTGTGCAAGTATCTTCCCAGAGGCTTTTCCAGATCCTGACCCATTAAAAATTGCCCCATTACCTGTTGTTAAGGGGGAAAAAAAAAACTATTATAGCCTTTAAATCTGCCCTGTATTATTTATACATTACATCTTTGTGTGACTTGTCTCCCTCACTAGATTGTAAGCCTTTGGAGGTCAGAAACTCAACTATTAACTCATTGTATCTTCCACCACATCTAGCACAGTGCCTTACACTTATTTGCTATTCAATAAATATTCGTTAAAATAATGGACATACTATTGAAGTTTGATGTCTATGGGCCTTTAGATGGATTATCATAGTTCTAAACACACCTCTAGTACACAGTTGCATTATTTATAAAAAAAAATATGCACATTTGCAGAGCATTGTGGCTTACGCATGTAATCCTAGCACTTGAGGCTGAGGCAGGGTGATCGTCAAGTGTTCAAGACCAATGTGTGAGACAATGTTGCAAAAATCTTAACATAGTGGCCTTGCACAGCCTATGGTAATAGTCCAGGGCATATTTTGAATTTTCTCCCAATAAAAAGAAACTGTTTCAAACTCTTCAAGTTCTAAATTTTGGGATTAAAAACATTCTGGTTTTGCTTTGTATTTTACACCTACAGTACACATTTCATGTGTTTAATAGTCATGGGGTCAGAGACCACCAAAATAGACTGCGTAGATTCGGTGGGAGGGGGATAAACTTCTCTAGAGATTTCATGTTTTCATCTAGACCAGTGGATTAGGCTTTAATTTTCATGATTTGAAATCCAAAACAAATTCCTTGTATTAATGTGTAATGATGTTTAATAAGCACTTTTCACCAGTTTAATCTTCACACCTCATTAAATCCATTATAGAGATGAGAATTCAGGTGCTGAAGTAGATAAATTTACTGTTAAGTAACTTAGGCAAGACATTTCCTAGTTGCACTAGGGAGCTTAACATTTAATACAAGATTAGAATGACATTTTATAGACGTAAGTGTAAAGTGAATAGTACACTGAAGAAGCAGCATTTAGTAAAGGTTAATTTTCTTAGATGAAATGTGTATCCTCTTGATTTTATTTGTAGATTTTAAAGAATCAGGTAGGGTATTTAGCTTAGTTGTGCACTGATTACCATGTTTGAGACAAAGTTCAATCCTTATTACAGCCAAAATTCTCTTACGGAGAAATTTCACTGTTTTCTAATTTTCAATATAGGAAAATCCCCTAATTCATTCTAATTGCTCCTACAAAGAATTTAGACAAATGATGGGAAGTTGTCTAGTTTGAACAGAACTGAGAACATTTTGTTGAAAGTACATGCTGGCTCTTGGTCAAATTAATTTCAGAATAAGCCTTGGAACCAAATATTTTACCAGATGTTTACCAGCAAAGATCAAACTACTTAGATTCACATTAAGTACTTCAAGGATAAATGAAGATTAATTCAACATAACCTTGTTTAATGGTTTTCTATTTTGGTACTAACCCTAGTGTGTTTCTATAAAAAAGAGGAATATTTTGCAGTGCTGGAGAATAGACCTTTCACATATTTAGCAAACACTCCACTATTGGACTGTGGTCTTTTGATTTGAGAGAGGGTCTTTGCTATGTATTCTAGGCTGGCCTGAGATTACTAATCTTCCTGCCTTAAGTGCTAGGATTACAGTGATTTACCATGTCCTATGGAGTTATAGTGTAAAGTTACAAAAGTGAAATTAATGTTAAGTATTGCCTTGAAACAAGTTTTAAGGTTTGCATGAATTTATAATATTTAAAGAGTAGTTAATGGTGACAGGCATACTTTACCACTGGAAATGTTAACTACCATCTACAAAGATGGTATGTATTTTGAGTTATTTAATGTCCTTTGGCCCACAAGTAATATCAAAGTTAATTCTGAAGAAGCTAGGAAAACGTATAAATTTCAAGAACAAGGATTTCAATGAAATTTTAATGCTTAGCAGTAATAATGGGAAGAAAGGATGGTGCTTGCTGAAAAGGAAACAAGTCACTAAGGATGACCCACCTTTTCAGAATGTTGGGGAAATAGTGATGAAGCTGCACACACTTAAAAAAATCGTATAAGGAGCTTCTGTTTCCCTGCCTTGGAGGGTTAACGTTCTAGGGATGAGAGATGACAGGTCACATGATGGCACTTGCCAGCGTTAGGATAGCATGAAATCTTTGTTTCTTCAGGAGCGATCCGGAGTAGGGTCTTGTTTGTTCCAGCAATGTGACTATACCATAGTTGAAACTAGAACACCTACGCTATGAGGATAATGTATAAGTTAAATTTAAATGCTTCGCACGGTGCTTGGATTTTTAGCTACTACAGAATACGAACATTAAAATTTAGAATGAGATTCTAAAAGGGAGTACCTAGTCTACCAACCTGCTTCCATCCTACACGGGTTTGTGACTAAGCCTGCCTGGCGAGGTGACTCTGGGTCCACGTTGGAAGTGACATGGCTAAGACGTTGGTGTTCTGCAGTGGGTGGCGGCCAAGTGGGCTGTTTTTCCCCACTGTCATAATCCCCAGTTTGGTCCCCTATAAAAAGCGGACTCCAAGACGTCCTTCCCTCCTTTCCCTTAGGCGTGGCTACAAGAATCGAAAGGGTGGGGCGGCAGTGTACGCTATAAGGACTACACTTCCCAGAGGGCTTCGGGTGCCGCACTTGGGTGCTGTGCATAGGTAACCTTCCTCCACTCTTCCGTAATCCGGCCAGTCTCGATGGTCTAGGTTTTCCCGGACTTCCGGATAAGCCAGTGGGCGGCCGGACCAGTGTGTCTCGGTCTGAGCACTCCCAGGTCCTCCCGCAGGGTGGCGGCGGTGGACCTACTGCGGTCTTGCGTGTGTTGGGGGCGGTGGCTGCGCACGCGCGGCGAGGGTCTCGGGGCGGGGCCTGGTGCGGCTGTGAGTAGAGGCGAAGCTGGGTGGTGGGTGGCTATGTGGACCCGCCGCCGGGCGGTGGGGGTGTCCTCCCCCTCGGCCTCTGAGGGCGGCACGTCCTCCGCTGCATGGACCGAGATGGGGTCTTGGATGCGGACGATCGCGGGGAGGCTGAAGCAGCGGCTGCGGCTGGACGTGGGGCGCGAAATCTGCCGCCAGTACCCGCTGTTCTGCTTCCTGCTGCTCTGCCTCAGCGCCGCCTCGCTGCTCCTCAACAGGTACCTGCCGTTGGCCCCGCGGAGGCCGCTCGGGAGCCCGCGGGCTGTGCTGGGCTGCGGGCTGCTGACAGCGGGCGAGAGCCAACTCCGCACAGTGGCCTCGGGAGGGACGGCCGAGGTCGCGCCCGGATATGCGGGCTGGCCGGCTGCCCGTGGGCCGGGCATCCTCCGAGGTTACCTAGCGCTGAACCTTTCTTTTCTGACCATTTCTCAAAATCTGGGCCTTTATCGCCCATTTTTTCACAACCGAAATATGTATATTCACCTCAGTTCGAGACGGTAAAAGGCGATTCAGTCACCGGAGGGAGGGTTTAAAGTCCTGTTGCAGCCGCAGTCCCAGGCGGAACCCTTCTCTTTTGCAGTAGTATATACACACACTCGCGGGCACACACCTTGGTGGCCACAGTTTCATCTGTTTTAAAGATTTTTGATCCGAAATCAGAAAGCGAAATAATACCCATCACATATCTACAATATTCTTGTTTCTCTCTCTTTAAGAGCTGAAATAGTCTGAAAAGTTAAAATGATTAAATTGAAAATTTGAGGTCAGGTCCCGCCCCTGAAACTTGTAGATTTCCTTAGTTTTGCCGTTTCCTGAAGTAGTATCGGTGCAGGGGATAGTAGAAAAGATGTATACTTAAGAACATCATGTTGTTTCCTCTGATGTGTCGAGCAGTCATTTTATTTTCGAAGTCGTTCATCAGCAAGCATAACAATGGAAAGCATACACAAGGGATTTAACTTAGTATTTTCACTAAGGCTAACCATTTCCAGTGACTGTGACAGCAGTTTTTGCTTTGTTTTCATGGTGGCTTTGTTTGTTGATTTGGGGCTCAAGTAAGTAGACTTAAGTAGTGATTACTATGTTTTTTTTAAAAAAAGTGCCTGGGTTGTGATGGTGAGGTATTTGTTGGACTGTGGAAGAAGTGAGATCGTTTAAACAGTAAAAATTATTACTACCATTCTGTCCTCTGAAAGGCATTCCAAGCTAGACTAACAGGTTCAATTGAACTAAATGTAAACTACAGGATTTAAGTTTTGTCCTCAACTTTCTTCAACAGGAATTGAAGTGTAATTCCTCTCTAAGGTGGGACAGTCATTAGTTGAGAGCATATTGAACTAGCACTCTGAGGTTATCAACTTAGGAAGTCATAGCATTTAATATTATATGTTGCTAAATCATAAAATGCTGTCTGGTGTATGTGACATAGGATCTGTACCATGAATTTTGTATTATGTAAAAAAGGGAGAAAGTACACATATATTTTTGTCTCTGATGTGGGCATGTTTATGAGTGAAATTGTTTTTGCATACTCTTTTCCCATTTGTTATTGTTGAATCAGCTAAAGTGACTTTAAATATCACAGTGCTGTCTTTTTATTTTGTTATTTTATGTAAAGGGGTGTTTTGCCTGCAGATATGTCTGCACCACGTGCATGCAGTGCCGATGGAGGCCAGAAAAGGGCCTTGGGTCTCCTGGAACTGAAGTTAGAGAATGTGGGTGTTGGAATGGACCCTTCATTCTCTGGAAGAGCAGCCTGTATACTTAACCAGAGACTATCTCTCCAGCCTCCACAGTGCTGTCTTTAAATAAATGGTTAGAGAGCCTCTTTCAGGAGAAGTATTAGGGAGGGTACAGAACAGAGTGAATAATGTACTTTTTTATAAATTTTCTTTAAGATGTGTACTGCTGTGTGTGTGTGTGAGAGAAAGAGAGACAGAGAGACAGAGACAGAGAGACATAAACATATATGCTGTGTATGATTAGGTTGTCCTTGGAATGTCATATGAGAAAACCTGGTCCCTTCTGCCAATAGGCACTAATAAGTTCATTTACTCTATGATTTTTTTTTGTTTGTTTTTTTTTGAGACAGGATTTCTCTGTGTTAATAGGCCTGGCTGTCCTGGAACTCACTCTGTAGACCAGGCTGACCTCAAACTCACAGAGATTTGACTGCCTCTGCTGCCCAGCTTTACTTCTAGCCTTTTGAGACTTCTCCACACTCCTTTCTCTCCTGGCTGCACCATTTTGCAATCCCACCAACAATGGATGAAGGTTCCCTTTTCCCCACAGCCTCAGCAGCATTTGTTGTCAGCTGTTTTGTTGATCTTTGCTGTTCTGGCTGGTTAAGATGAAATCTCAAAGTTGTTTTGGTTTGCATTTTCCTAATTGCTAAGGATGATGAACTTTTTTTTTGTGATATTTGTTAGTCTTTTTCCTTTTTTCTTTTGAGAATTCTCTGTTCAGGTCTCAGGTCCATTTTTGGATGTTTATTTTTTGTGTGTTCTTTATATATTGTGGATATTAATCTCAGATTCTCTCCCACTCTGTGGGCGTCCTCCTTACCCAACTGATTGTTTCTTAGCTGAATAGAAGCCTTTTAGTTTTTAAGTTCCACTTACCAATTGTTGGCCTTCACCTCTTAGGCAAATGGAGACCTATTGAGAAAGTTCTTTTCTATACCTATATCCTGCAGGGTACTGTTTTCTTCTAGCAGTTTCAGGTTTCAGATTTAAGTCTTTTATCCATGTGGAATTAATTTTTTTGGAAGGTCCTTGATACAGGTCTAATTTCATTCTCCTGCATTTGGACATCCAGTTTTCCCAGCACCATTTGTTGAAAATGCTTTCTTTTGTGCAGTTTATTTTTGGTATCTTTGTAAAATATTAAATGACTGAAGTTACATGTACTCAGGTTTGGGTCTTTGATTTGTTCTCTTGGTCTATTTGTCAGTCTTTGTACCAGTTCCATATTGTTTTTATTATTGTGACTGTAATATATTTTAAGATGTGGAACTGTAATCCCTCCCACATTCTTTTTTTTTTTTATCCTCTCAAGATTGTTTTGGTTTTCCAGGGTCTTTTGCAGTTCCATAAGAATTTTAGGATAGTTTTTTTTTCTACTTCTGTGAAGAATGAGAAGGGGATTTTGATTGAGATTGCATTTGGTCTGTAAATAACTTTTGATAGAATGGCCATTTTCACAATATTAATTTTACCAATCCATGAGCATGGGATATCTTTCCATTTTCTAATGCCTTTTTCTATCTCTTTCTTCAGAGCTTAATTTTCATTGTAGGGGTCCTTCACTTCCTTAGTTAGGTTTATTCCTAGGTATTTTATTTTGAGGATATTGTGAATGGGAGTGTGTTTGTGATCTTCTTTGTATGTTTCTTCTTAGTGTATAGAAAAGCTGTTGATTTTTGCAAGCTGATTCTGTATCCTGCCACATTGATGGATTTGTTCATCATTTCTAGAAGCTCTTTAGTAGAAATTCTGGGATCTCTAATAGATAGTATGATGTCATCTGCAAATAGGGATAGTTTGATGTCTTTTTTCCCTATTTATATCCCTTTAATTTCCTTCTCTTGCCTTACTGCTGCAGCTAGCACTTGAACACACTGTTGAAAAGGCACAGGGATAATGACATCCTTGTCTTGTTCCTGACTGTAGTGGGGTTGCTTGAAGCTTTTCTCCATTTAGGATGATGTTGGCTGTGGGCTTCCCCTTTATAGCTTTTACAGTGTTGGGGTATGTTCCCTCTAGCCCTACATCTTCTAGGACTTTTATCGTGAGGGCATGTTGAATTTTGTCAAGGGCTTTTTCTGTGTCTGTTGAGATGATCATGTGATTTTTGTGCATCTATGTGGTTTATTACATTCATTGACTTGCATGTGTTGAACCATTGCTGGCATTTCAGGGAAAAAACTAAATTGGTTATGGTGTAGAATCTTTTTGATATATGTCTGTATTCTGTTTGCAAGCATATTATTGAGCAGGTTTTTTTTTTTTCCCCCTAAGATTATATGGCCTGTAGTTTTCTTTTTTTGCTGTCTTTACCTGGTTTGGGTATTAGAGAAATTAGTGACTTTGTAGAAGGAATTCGGAAGTGCTCCTTCTGTTTTTGTTGTTTTTGAATAATTTATGAAGGATTGGCCTTTGGAAGTCTGGTAGAATTCTGCTGTGAATCCTTCTGGTTCTGGAATTTTTTTTTTTTTTTTTTTTTTTTTTAAAGCTGGAAGGCTTTTTACTCCTATTTTAATCACCTCATTTGTTATGGCTCTTTTTAGGTTTGTTGACTTCTTGGTTTAATTTTGGTGATTTGGCTGAATTTAGAAATTCATCAATTTCTTTTAGGTTTTGCAGCTTAATAGAATACATATTTTGAAAATATTTCCTTATAATATTCTGAATTTCTTTTGTGTCTGTTATAATGTTTCACTGTTTTATTTCTGATTCTGTCAGCTTGGGTCCTCTCATTCTTTCTTTTGGGCAATCTGTCAATCTTGTTTATTTTCTCAAAGAACCAGGTCTTAGATTTGTTGATTCTTTATATTATTTTCTTTGTTTATATTTCATTGGTTTCTGCTCTGATTTGGGCTACTGTTGTCTATCCTTTTACTCTATGAGGTGTTTATTGTTGAAGCTAAAATGGATTTCTTGTAGACAATAGGTAGATTTTGTTTGTTTGGTTTTTTTTTGGTTTTTTTTTCCGTTTTTTTTTCGAGACAGGGTTTCTCTTGTAGCTTTGCGCCTTTCCTGGTAGACCAGGCTGGCCTTGAACTCACAGAGATCCGCCTGCCTCTGCCTCCCGAGTGCTGGCATTAAAGGCGTGCGCCACCACCGCCCGGCTAGATTTTGTTTCTTGATCCTTTCAATCAGCCTGTGTCTTTTTATTGGGTAATGGAAACCATTGATATTTAAAGTTATTATGGCAAAGTGTGTGTGACTCATCCTGTTGTTATGTTTGGTGGTATTGTTTGTATACTCAGTGATACTTTGTATTTTAATGTTTATGCCTTTGTATTTTTATTATTTTTTTTTTTACAGTGTCTCTGCTATGTTCATTCCTCTCTTCAGCTAAAATATTTTGTTGTCAAACCCACAAGGGTGATCAGACAAGGCCAGAGGACTGGATGTATGACCAGGGCTGGAACTGGCAGATTGGGAATGATGCATGGATTGGGAGGGTCAGCAGATCCACAGGTCTAGACCCCAGG